CCTACCCCTAAGGTCCACCGCACCTGTCAGTAAAAATACTACAAAACAGCACACAGGCCCAAGAGCAAAGACTTCCCTGTTTTGATGCAGCATGTCTATACAATGCCTCCACCAATCTTTTAGTTGAAGGTATTGGTTCAAAATCATCTCTGTCATGTGATCATATAACATCATGTAACACTTCCACAGTAGGGCATATTGTTGACATTACTTGGGTCTGTGTTCTCAATCCACATTCATTCATATTTGTCTCAGAATAATCTATTTACTATTGGTTTAAAGCAGAGTTGTTACTTTACCTTCACAAATCACTCAAAGTTCTGGGGACAGAATATTCAGGGCAGAGGGACCATCACCTGCCCTAAGTGAGAATATGTTTAGTATATTTAAGGAACAACAGCAAGGTCAAAGTGGCAGGAGAAGAAGATATGAAATGCAGATTTTGAAGCTCATATATAACCTGGTAAAATGTTTAGTTTTGCCACAAGCATGGTAGCAAACCTTGGACCTTTTAACAAAGTCAGAGGCCCAATGTGCTTTATTTACATATGTGATCACTCACTAGTGTTAAAGAACACAGAATCCTAAGTGTAGAAGAAACAAACTCAACTGTGCTAAGTTACATATATGGTAACTTTTCTTAGTTCTGACCAATAGTGGAGAAACTGCCACCCAGGTAACATTTACTATATAACTTTTAGAAACCATCGCTGACAAGAGTTCCTCATGGTTCAGATATAAGAGGTGAAGTTAAGGGGAGGCTGAAAATGGCGGCGAGCTAGGGGATCGAGCGAAGAATCTCTCCAGAGAATTCAAACTCAAAGATAAAAAAAGACAGCATGGAGAGGACCAGACAAATCGATAGCGATTCTTATTAACCAAGACAGTACAACTGGAGGATTTAAAGTCGTGCTGAGACCGGAGGCTACAAATCCCGCGCCCTTAAATCAACAAACAGACTCGTGGACCCAGCACGAAAATCTGAGTTGCTTTTGGAGACCGCGGGAAACTGAGACCCAGATCGAGACTCCAAGTAGCAGCCAGTTCTGCACCGCTGCACCAGAGCGGATGTACAAAGCTCTGGCGATTCAAATCTAAACGGTGCACAGAAATCTGACCGGTCAGCGCTGAGCTGCGAGTGGGGGAAAAGTGGACAGCTTGGTGTGCGGCGGTCCCGGAACGAGGACTTGCACCGGACTCTGGTGAGTACAGAAAACCCCGCGGCTGCTGAGTTTGGCCAGAGAACAGCTGGCCCGCCACCACGGGGAAATCAATAACACAGACTCTGGTGCAGACATACTAGCCTGGCGGCAGAAATCGCAGCTTGGTGACATCACCAGATCCCCCTGTAGGGAGGGCTGGTGGAAGACATCTTGAGTCCTGGCAGAGCCTGATTACTTGTTGGCTTCAGCTCCACACAGAGAACTTAGTGGGAGCCATCTTTGTTTTGGGCAGATCTGCTTTTCTGGTGCACCTATCACAGAGAGGTTTGGAAGAGAACGGCTGGCACCTGGGCAGAATCCTGTGCCATCACTCAGCTGCTTCTGATTCAAAGAGAACTGGCAGGAACTACTGGGGCTAAACCAAGCCTCTGCTTGGGGCCCAATAAGCAGATACAAAATAGTCACAACTCAGTGACAACCAGAAAGTACAGCCTAATTTATGAACTAACTGACACAGAGGCTAGAGACTAGACTGTACCGCCCCTACATCCCAGCCTACCCCAGATAACAGCAAATTGGGGAGGACAGCAAAAACTCAAGCCAGCACGCTTCTGAAAGGCCCTAAGCAATTCAGAGAGGGCCAGAGAACTCCAGGACAGTCTGAAAGAAACCAGAAACATGACAAGAGATAAAAATAAAAAAAAACCTCCAGCTGTTCAACAGGAGAAATTAAACCCAAGAGAACTAAACACTGAAGAGAACAAGCACAGTAACCATCCTCTACTCGACACAGCATCAGCCGAAATTAAAAAGTACTTACATGATCTCATAGAGGAATTTAAAGATGTACTCCTGATCCAAGTGAGGCAAGATATAAAGAGATTAATTAAAGAAATGACAAGCCCCGCCCAAGAGAACACAGATGGAAGAACTGAGGAAATCAGAAAAGAAAGAGAAGCATCTGAAGAAGAATTTAAGCATAACTTAGAATACATGAAACAGATCCAAAGAGAATATCAGGAAACTCAGAACTCCATTGAATATTGGCAAAATGCCTTGACAGAAACTAAAGACAACCTTCTGAAACTTGAAGAGAGATTTAGGGCTTATGAACGTGAAAGAAAAAGCCTATTAAAAATAACAAGGAACCAGAAAGAAGCAATTCTAAAACTGGAAGATGATAAAAAGATACATAACCTAAGAATAAAGAATGTGAGTGAGGAAGCAGGAACATCCAAAAATGAAATACAAAAAATATTCACAGAGATATTAAAGCAAAATTTCCCACGTATAGCAAAAAGAAATGATATCCAGATAAAAGAAGCATACAGAATGCCAGCTACCTACAACCAAAACAGATCTACGCCTAGGCATATAATAATCGAGATCCCAGAAATCCACCAAAAAAACAGAATATTAAAAGCAGCCAGAGAAAGGATGCAGGTTACCTATAACGGGAAATCTATCAAAATAACAGCAGACTTATCAACACAAACTCTTAAGTCAAGAAGGGAGTGGGGAGAAATATTCCAAGTCCTGAAGGAAAAAAATATGCAACCTAAGTTCATATATCCGTCAAAACTTTCTCTAAAAATTAATGAAGAAATAAGATACTTTCAAGACAAGGAGGAACTGTGGGAGTTCGTGGCCACCAATCCAACCCTACAGAGAGCGCTGAAGGACATTACAGAGAAAGAGAGGAAGAGATATCAGGATTACAGCTACAGTGGCAGAGAGGCCTCAGTGAACGGGGCAGACCATGGAATGAGGGAATAAGGTGGACAAATTATAGCAGAAAAGTGGAGTAGCAGACATGAGGCAGAGACGGTAAGCTAGTCTTTAGTAGAGACAGCTCTGAAACTATATTTAAAAAAAAAAGCAGAGGTCATTGCTAATGGTGTATAATGATTTAAAAGACACAGTAGTCCTAGTGACATATTTAGATTGAATTAAATTTGTTCTGGTCTGTCCACTCATATCAGATTTGAGGACACAGACCTCTAGAACCAAAAATAGCAGGCTATACCACGGCAACTATCCTTACTTTCCTATTGACTTAGGCTGAAACTCTGTATTACTTACATTGTCTTACTATGACTGATCTTAATTGTATCTGAATCATAAGACTATTGGTTGGCCTTGACTGATCCTATTTGAAATCGGTATGCGTGTTAGAATCAACCCTAAAAGTAGAGGAAACTACTCTGAGCATGACAAGATGTAAAGGATATCCATACTGGTATGAATCAGTAACAGCTCTCAAATACTACAATGCAGTCAAAGATAAGTTTTTATAAAAATAGGTGATAGTATGTTTAACTATAATAAGCCAGTGTTGTCGACAAATCTATTGAAAATAACAAGAGAAAACATAGTAGCTACGGAAGATCATTTATATTATAGTTTTATAAGTCCTATCCATTGCATGTTTATCTAGGAAATTGTTTCGTTGTCTTGTTATGACTTGGTTTTCCCTATAATACAGAGATGATAGGAACAAATACTCTGAGGAAGAGACCTGAAAAACCCGAGGCTTATTTTGTAGCATTATAATATAAATTCTAGCAATCTATTGCTTGCTGATTAAAATGTCTCTGGACTGGTTTCTTCAGCTCAACTTCAGCATATGCAGAGATGGGGATGGCTATCACAAAGAGAATGAGAGATGCGATGGTAGTTGGTATTGTCTTCCCTAATTTGGAACTTGAGGACCTAAAAAGACTCCATCATCCTGTAATGATTTGATTAGTTCTATAATATGCAATAAGTATAGAAAGTGGGTGAAGTTAGGGACAACTATTTGTAAGAAGCTAGAGACAGTTAGATAAGGTAGATCTCCAGTGGACTTGCTTTGAAATCTGTATTTCTTTAAATTGTTTTTAATTTTTTTTAAAATGTTCTGTTCTGTTTTGATATGGTTAACCTTATCCTCTTAGAGATGTAAAACAAATAGGTGGGACTGATAATCATATTACGGAGCTTTTGTTCGGCCATAGAGCAGAATGGTTTGTAGGGTCATTTTTTTTTTGAATATCATTCTATATACTTTAATTCTATAACCTGAACAGCCGTTTCGAAGATGACAATTTGTAACTTATCAACTGGCAATTTCTTACCTTTTGTTTGTCTGTAATTTAGAATTATTTCTACCCTTTTTTTTAAATCTCCATGTATTTTTTTTTTCGTTTCCTTTTCTTTAAATAAATTAAAAAAAAGGAAAAAAAAGAGGTGAAGTTAAGGAGGTGAAACAAGTTGAAATATAAATATGGAATATGGAAACTTTGGGCTACTATGACATAAAATACTTTGTGAAGCACCAGTGGATATTTAGGTGAAAGCATAGCTGTTGCTTTGAAACAAATGAGTTGAAAAACCAAGGAATCCAGGAGATATTCATGCTACTGAAACTAAGTAAGAAATGAGGAAGAAATGGAACCTGAATATATATATACAACACATTCTCAAGCAATATGTGATCTCCTGATACATAAAAGGCATTGCTCTGCTAGTAATGATGAAACAGTCACCTGTGTAGTCACCCGTAGGCCACATTCTGTTTTCACACTATGGCAGTAACCAAATGTTAGGTCCAGTTGGAAGGTTAAAGAACAAAATTAAACCTCACGTGTTAGCAAAGACCATGTGGGAATTGCAAAGTGGGAGGAAAGGACTCCAAAATCCCTCCTACTTCCTGTTTTAATCAATGACACAAAACACTTCCAGGGTCTATCGACCCCTCCCTCCATGCCTAATGAAAATAACCTCTATGAACTTCATTTTCAAAACCAGTTTTTGTGCTGCACATTGAATTGAGCTATTCTCAGACTGTTTATAATTTGTTTCTTTTTAGCCCTGACACCTTCATGAGGAGAAAGATAGATCCCCAACATAATGGCACTGAGGCCACTGAGTTCATTCTTCTGGGTCTGACCAGCCAGCCCGAGCTGCAGCCCATCCTTTTTACAGTGTTTCTCCTGATTTATCTCATCACACTCACCGGAAACTTCGGGATGATTTTTCTGATCAGATTCACTCCCCGGCTGCAAACCCCCATGTATTTCTTCCTCACCCATTTAGCATGTGTGGACATTTTCTACTCCACTAACGTCTCCCCACAGATGCTGGTCAATTTCTTATCTGAGAAGAAGAGCATTTCCTACGCTGGGTACCTGATCCAGTGTTTCGTGTTTGTGACTTTGCTGCTCACCGAGTACTACATGCTTGGTGCCATGGCCTACGACAGATACGTGGCCATCTGCGACCCTCTCCGTTACAGCAGCAAGATGTCCAGGCCCGTGTGCTTCTGCCTGGTCACCTTGCCCTACCTCTGGGGGTCCGCAGTGGGTACCATGCAGGTAACCCTGACCTCCCGCTTGTCCTTTTGTGACTCCAACACCATCAACCATTTCTACTGCGCGGACCCCGCGCTCTTAATGCTGACGTGTTCTGACACCTCGGTAAAGCAAACGGCCCTGTTCGTGTCCGCAGGGATAAACCTCACCAGTTCCCTGCTCATCATCCTCACCTCCTACGTCTTCATCTTCACCACCATCGCGAAGATCCGCTCCAGCGAGGGGCAGCGCAGAGCCATCTCCACCTGTGGCTCTCACCTAACCGCAGTGTCTATGTTCTACGGCTCCCTCTTCTGCATGTACCTGAGACCCGCAAACAAACAGTCCGTTGAGCAGGGGAAAGTGGTGGCAGTGTTTTGTATCTTTGTGAGCCCCATGCTGAATCCCTTTATCTACAGCCTGAGGAACAAGGACGTGAAGCAGGCTTTGAGAGGAGTGTTTGTTAGGAACCCTATTAAAATAGAGAAAACTTCAATACCCGCAGTCTCCCACTGAAGAAATAAAAATAATTTTTCATCAATAAAACCTTGAAAGAATCGACAAGCATCCCTCAATGGTTCTGAGTGTAGCTCTCTGGAGTCAAAGCAGAGTGTCTTTGAATCTGATGCTTAGTGTGAGATCTAATGAGCATCTGATGAAATAATGAAGGCAACGGTTAGAATAAAGACTGAGAGTAACCCAGCGCAGGGCTCAGTCTTGTGGCCCAGCGGGTTTCTGTGCTTCTGACTTCTACCAGAATAGCTGGATGATAAGATCTGCCTTCCTCTCCTTAGCTCATCAATACCGAGCACCTCTGACCTACTTTTATGAGCACAGCAAAGTGATTTATAAAACAATCCCTGAGTAAGACCATGGTGTCCATGCATATGTCACGTTATGTTAATCTCTGCAGTAAAATTTGATTACTTTCCAGAAGATGCTCATAATGATAACTGCAAATGTTTCGTAGCTTACTTTTGTGCTATTTTTATGTCCACTTATGCTGAAATGAAAACCATATGTATTTTATTATTTAAACAAAGAAAAAGTTGACATACTTTTATGAGCCTGGGATTTGCTTTATTGATTTTCTATAATTATCTACCTAATGAGAGATATTCATTCCCAAATTAGTTTGTTTCATTTTTCCAGAGGTGATTTGCATAAGGTAATCATTATAATATTATTAATAACTATTTGTTATGTAATTTTCATTATTTATCTACATTGATAATACCCATGAAAACTGATTTCAATGCTTTACACCTGAATTATGGCATAAATACACTCCATATTATGTGACACTTTTAAAATCTGTTCCTTTTAAGTGCATAATGTAACAATATTGGTATAAAACTGTTTAGTGGTACCACTATCTTTTAATCTTTAGGCAACTTTTTCCCCATTTCCACAAAATCTTTATTTGTAAGTTATTGCTTCTGATAAATTTCCATGGCTTTGTATCTTTTAATATTTATTTTATGTTTGTGTATTGTGCTGCATAAAATTTCCACCAGCAAACGGATTTCCCAGTTTCCTCTACTGCACAGGAATGTTCACACTCATTCTCTGTGTGAGTGCATGTGGTTCACACAAAATCACCTACACAGGATTTGTACATCAGATACACTTTATTGAAACTTACCTTTCCTTATTTTCATTCTTTCTCGTGCCATAAGTAGAGGAAAAGGTGGTGGAGATAATTTTCTCTCTAGAAAAAATATTTTTAAATCCTTCATTTCTAGGAACTTTCTCTAGAAAAATATTCTACAGCATACATACAACTTTTTGTCCCCATGTTTAAAGATGGCAGACAGTGGTATTATCATAGCTGCTTCCTACCCTACAAATCCTCCTTCTCCTCAAAAAACCTCATGAAACACGCAAACAAAAAATTCCATAAAACATCCTTTATTGGCTGCATAGAAGCTACTGAAAGAGCAAGTCACTAGGCAATAATGCTCTCTTTATGGGTTTTCTCATGGTTTATGGCCAGATCCTACGCTGTCCAGGAGATGCACCTGTTCTAACAGCTCATGAAAGCAGACAGTGCTCACACTGGGGGGTTCTCTGGTGACTGACAGCCATGCAAGCCAGGGTGTGTTTCCAACATACACAGATGACACCTAACATGATGCTATACAAAGTGATGGCAGGGGCTTTGTATGGTATGTGCTGTTTTAATCAAGGAACAGATATTTTTATGAAAATACCAACACAAGTTTCTTAATACATCAGCATATCCTAAAGTGAAATGACTAAATAGGAAAGCATATTTTGTTATATTAATACCCAAAAATTATATATTATTTTTCATGGAAAAAACCAGTAGATGAAATTGCCAGTCATTGGAACTTTTCTACTTATAAAAACGTTAAGTCCACAAATCTTAAACACCATTGTTAATATGTTTAGAAGCCTGAATTTCCACTGGACAACATTTCATAGCAGCATTCAACACATTTATTCTTCACAGCTTGTAATAAAAGCCTCTCAAAAGACAACTTCCAGAGCAATTTCACAAAGTGGTAAGAAAAATAGGATATGCATGCTGTGAGAAAGAAGGATGTAATGAGGAAGATTACTTGTAATGTTTCTTTTACCAAAATAAATTTTAAAAATATAAGCATTCACAGTGGATTTCTATCACATTTAAGTGAAGTTATTAAATGAATTCTACCATAGTAATCTGTGAATATGTGGAATTTCATGTAAAAATAAATTTCCTGAATTAAGTATGACAGTTTTTATTAAAATAATTTACCTTGAATATTCTGTTTTCAAGAGCAAATGAATAAAATTTCCAGTGACAGTACAGGAGGATAAACAAGTCATGAACCCAAAGTACAAGTTTTATCACTTTGTGAATTCACCTCATCACTGACACTTAGTATTTATGAAAAAATACTAAACTGTAATTTTCTGAAAACAATTTCCTCTGGGGAAAAGCTGCATGGCATGGATTACATATTTATTTCTTAAACTACAGATCAAAGAGTTCATTCTTGGGCTTAAAAAATTATAAAACACTGCAATTACTTTTGACTGTCCCACAGACTTCTCTGACAGAGTCTTAAGTACATGCAGAACAGGGTTCCGTAGAATATGGTCACTATGGTCAGATGGGAACCACAAGTAGAAAAGGCTTTGCGCTGCCTTCTGCACAATGAATCTTCAGGATGACTGCATCAGTGAAAATGTAGGACAGAAGAATGATGGAGAGAGAGCTTGACAGAGTGAGGCCAGCAACAACAAACATCACCATCTCTTTGACACGGGTGTCAAAGCAGGCCAGCACAATAAGTGGAGGGTCTGCACAGTAGAAATGATGGGTTTCCAGGGAGCTGCAGAAGGACAGGAAGAAAGTCAGCAGTGCCTGAGACAGGCCATTCAGGAAGCCAAACAGGTAAGGAAAGGTGACTAGTGAGACGCAGATTCACCTTGAACATCCTGCTGTGTAGTGCAGGGGGCTGCAAATGGCTACGTAGTGATCCAGAACCATGGACAACAGCATGTAGAACTGGGTGTTGACCAGGGCAATGAAGAGCAGGCACTGTGTAGGCAGCCTGGCAGGTAAATGTTCTGCTCAGAGAGGAATTTATACAGCAGGTTTAGTTTCATTGGAAGAGTAGCAGAAGTCCACGAAGGAGAGGTAGCCCAGGAAGAAGTACGTGGGGGTCTAGATGTGAGAAGTGGTCCTGATGAGCATGATTATGGACAGGTTTCCTGCCAGCATGTCAGGTAGACCAGCAGGAGCACCACGAACAACACTTTCTCCAGCAAGGAGTCATCTGTGAGTCCCAGGAAATGAAATCTATCACTAGGGTATGGTTGAGGGAAGACATTTTCTTACCCCTTGGAATCTGAAAGGGATGAAGGATGCTTCATGAAAATTTGTTTTTCTATCAATTTTAGTATTTGTTCATTTACCATTCTCCTCAACATATGAGTCAGAATTTTTATGTAACATTTTTAGCTCTAGTTTATGTGTCCCTCAGACACACACTACACACACAGCTTGTCTCATATTTGTGTCCCTTTTATATCTGTAAATATATACTTTTTCATACTTACATATGTATACCTCTCTTTTAATGATCTCTCCACTGGATATTTTTTCTAAATTTTCTCTAATTAAGAAACCAAATGTTTTCTAATGAAAAATAAACAGCCAGTCAACTTAATCATTCAACTGCATTGATGAAGACAGCTGGATTTTAAGGGTCTCTCCAGTACAAATTCTTTTAGATGAAGAAGAAAAGATTAACAGTCAATTCTGCATTTTCATTCAAAGATCATTTATGCCTTGTTCAATTTAATTCAGAGAGCAATATAATTGAAAGTTACCTCTCAATAGATGACTAAAACATATAAAATTAGGAAGAATTCTCTCTGTCTTGGAAGTTTGTTCATCCATTCATACCATGAAGAACTTTATATACTTCTGTTGTTGTTTGAGGTTCCAGAGTATGAAAGCCTTACATTTTCACCAAGTATTCATTGTAGAACAGAGGAATAGACATTACAGATATAGATGAAGTTCAATATAATATTAAATGAAATCTAGTACTGGAAAGGAGAATGCAGGTGAGTTACTTGTACATGGCCATATGTTCTCCCTGAGAAGACAGTGTTTGAATAGTAAATCATCAATGCAAATAACTGGGGGAAAACATGAGTTATTTTAGTTTTCATTGCTTTGTGGCATTACGACAAATATTTCTTCAGAGATCCAGAGCTATTTAAGTGTGCCCTTGGTAGCAGCCTGATGCCGTCTCTTAATTTTTTTGTGAAAATAAAATATGAATACAAAAATCAGGTAGTTATCCTATTATTCATTTAGGATCTGGATAAATAAGTGTGAAAGGTTCTGGCTTCTACTGGACTCATTGTGAGTTAGGCTTTTGCTTCATTTCCATGGATCACCTGCCCTCCAGAGGCCTGGCTTTTATAGAGGCCACAGTGGGTATCTTGGCATCAGTGTTAATCATTTCCAGTGTCCTGGAGTCCCCAAATATCTGCATGCTTTGCTTTCCCCAACATCAAGTTACCCTGGCAAAATGCCTTACGTCCTTTCTGGGAAGGAATTGAGAAAGAAGACAACATAAATGTTTGACTCCAAGGGGACCTGGCCACCTCTAAATTTGGGGGGTCTTTGGCCTGTGAGCCAGCTCAAATCTGGGAATTGCTTGAAGCACTATGATTCTATTGCTATGAATTGAGGTAGATTTCAGATCACTTGCTCTTCCATTTTTTGATGATTTAAAACTTGTTTAAAAAATTAGCCCTCAAGAAAATACCCTAAATTGTTTGGTTGTCAAATATACATCAGAAACGCCTTCAAATAAAAATAACTGTCACAGAGTTAAACAAATATCAACATAGAAACATAAAAGTCAAATATGAATCAGAGAGTTTTTCACTTTTATAGAACATTCATCTGAATACAAAAATAGAAGATGCATTTTTTTAAAATAACAAAAGCAGAAAATAACCTACCTGTCAATATTACCCTA